ATCAAGTCAAGCGATGAAAAATAATGGAATTATATAAACGAAGTTAGTAAGTTGTGTGAGTAGTGTCTTGATATGATTATGAGCGGTAATAAATTGTGCTTGAAACATGGTCATCAGTAAATATTACTCACTGTATAACACTGTGAGACTTTATAAAAATAAATTCTACCCGTAATGGAATTATACTCCACCACCACAGTACACAAGTTCTATGCTTATACCATAATAGTTAAAATTCGCCAACAAAATAAAAAAGCAGTGAAAAAGGGACACCTGAGTAACACAAATATGGATAGCAAACCCTCTTATCTCTTTTTTTCACCACTATAATAAAAAGAAGTTCGACGCTAACTCTTGTCTTTAATGCATTCACTGTTTGTTTCATCCCAAAAATTTTTATTTATTCTCAATTTAAACGAAACTGTGAGATGAAAAAAAGAAAGGTCAACCTTGAAAATGTTCACTTGATCAAAATTCAATTGAATAAAATAACCGGATACTGAGTAGTTAACACCTCATAAAAGTAACATCAATTTTACATTAGTTTATCTTTCACTTTAGTGTCCTGGACTGACTGTTTTATTATTATCTATATGTTGAGAGGTTATTCCATAGTCTTTATTCTTCTCTATTTACATGACTTCAATTCACTGTGTACAATCTAATAAAAGATGCATTGAATATTGAATGTCAATCTTTTAAAAATAACGAATTTGACCTCAAACAATCTAGTTTGAATGATGATCACAGTGTGTTTTCCTAATCAGGAAAGAATACCAAGGGAAGAATATTCACTGTTTTCAGACGAAAAGGTGTAAAGAGATTATTTGAAATTATTTTTTATACTATATACTAATCAGTCGCACGCCAGGCCATCGCTCGAGTGGAATCCGAATGGAAAGCGACGAGTGGGTCGTCAATGAGAGGGTGACATGTAGGAGATCGTGTGAGGAAGAGATGAGAGAGTTTGGCCAATCGTGGACCCAGCTGAAGAGGACGGCAGAAAACAGAACAAAGTGGAGATGTGTTGTCGAAGCCCAATTTTCCACTCCAAATGCAAAGGAATAATAGTAATAATATCCTTATGAGTGGACATGGTTGGGGTGTGAAACTGATGCACGCCTAAACCTTACGTAGTTTTACTGGCTGATAATAGGCCCGGAGAAGAAGTTGGAAGTGCAACTAACAACCTCTTCTCACAAAGAGACAACACCACCGACACTGAAACACCAGACCGTAAAGCTTGACGTTATATATTTCTCTCGGAACATAGAGGAATGAAAATGAATGCTAGTCAGTAGGAAATCATGTTACACATCCGTTCACTTTTAAATACTTCAGGTGGTTTACAAGTAAAAGTGCGATCAGAGAGATGTAGCTCATTTGCTTACACACTGACGACATTGGTTGGGGTCGCGCTAAATCACAAATTAGTAGAAGTTAGAATTCATGAACTGGCCACTGAATCGGGTCCCAGTGGCTGAATGGTATACGAAATTGCCCCATAATCTGAAGGTCCTGGGTTCGAACCCTGGCAGTGGGTGCGTACTGCCGACGATTCCCAAACTAGGTTGAAGCAGCTGTCCAGTACTGCAATGCTGGTTTTCAATGGTTCTCTAACTGATATCAATCCGTGATCAACTCGTAAAATAACTAATCCTTACAAACCAGCTATAGAAAACTTAATATGTAGCCTACCGGTCATTAGTTCGAATCCTGCTCCACACACTGCAGCTCCAGCCCTACAAAAATGTCTGGCTAATAGTGTGGTACATGAAAACTCTGCTCCGACTAAGCCACTTTTGGTTGATCTCGAATATTTACAGGCCAGAAAACTACAGTATTTAATACTAGTGTGTTTCACAAAATCTGACTGTTAGTCTTCACATGTGGTTATTTTTTCATGCTGGTGGAACTCTCAAAACTGCAACTTATGATTGCATGAACTTTATATTACTTTGAGTATATTTTTTATGTGATTTCCCAAACTGATAAGGGAACATATAAGCCGACTAAATCTATGAGCATAGATATTAAAAAGTGCATAAATTTAGGCGTTTGAATCGGCGCGAGGACGTGTGTTTAAAGGTTAGGTGGAAAGTGTTTGACCAATGAGACAAACAGCGTCACTGATTGACGACACATCGCCGACGGAATCTCTGTTCACACAGATAAGAGATATCATTGTCTTAAATAACCTGAAGTGGGGCTGTCATACCTGTCCACCAATCAAATGCCCTTAATAATACACATTAGTTCATTGTGAGATGGCCGTCAAAAAGGAAAGATATGAAGACGTTAGGTGTCTTTGATCATAAATGTTGCTTTGTATCTGCCATGTTAAGCGGTATAATATGGTGAGTAATGTTTTGCTTAAAGATTGTGCAGCTTCATCGACTGAGGTAGCTAGAAAGCGTACTACTTAAAGCAAGTGATCACCGTCGTTGAACAGTGTTATCTGATCCAGGATTGTGTTGGAAAAGATTTGCGGGGATAAGGCTAAACCAAGGAATCAATCAACGAAGTCTTTGACTGTTTGTCTGAACCACGTAAAGAGGTGGAGACTGCCTGGCTGTGGTCTTCGAGATGCTAAAAATCAATGGCTGGAGACTATTGGTAACATGACTCGAAATCATCGTAACTGGCGCTGATGCATTTACTCTGTGTGATCTTCCAGACTCACTAAGTACTTACAGTTCTTTCTGTAGTTGTCCTTTCCCCTGTACATTTCCGCTCATTATAGTCTCTTCCGGATTCTTTATTTTACCTCTGTGTGCGCTTCATGAAGTGTAGTAATTTGGATTGATGTAACGGAAAGGTGATATTGATTTATACCAAAATGCTTTTGGCTTTTTCTGTTATGTTATTATTTATAGCAGTACAGCTTCGAATAATAAGATCTACTGACAAATAAGATTGTTCCGTTGACTATGCGAATTTCCATCTGCTATAAGGCCGAAACATTCCAAAATGAATAAAGTTGTCATATAGTAGAGATCAATATAAACGTCTCTTCGTAACTTCCGATAGAAACCTACTTATAAATCGAGATGTGTTTAGTGAGCTTTTCAAGTTTTCTAGTTTCTTATCGATTAATCCCTGACACCTGATATGATGAAGTAAGGCGTTTTTTCAAGTGCCACTATCGCACATTCAGTCAACAAATGATTCATATCGGCAGTTTACAATAAATCAGTGACATGGTTTCCCACTCGTGTATGTTATTCAAAATTACTAGGATTTTACTGTAACTCAAATAGGTTAAAAGTAGTTTCATAGTGGAATGCTCCGCAGTCGCACACAGAATTGGATTGGGTCTCGTGGCTTAATTGCCTACGAGATCGCTCACCTTGTAACCAGAAGGTCCTGGGTTTGAACCGGCAGTGGGGTGGGTACGTACTGATAAAGAGTCCTAAACTAGTCTGACGAAACAGCTTTCCAGGACTCCCAGCTGGTTTTCCAATTGTTCTTTAACTGATATCACCTCATGTTAAATCTTTCTTCCTACTGCATAGGGACCCATACCAAGAATTTCATTGGTTTATTCCAGCATAACGAATACATTCAATTGTTAACATTCTCTACCAATGCTATTTTCAAATTTCTTTAAAAATCTTGCTTTCATAAGCCTAAGTCTAAGATCACAAAAAGTTTAGACTGTAGATGGTGCGTTGGATTTCATAATATCCTTTATGACAAATTGAAACCAGCTAAAAAGGCAATAAAAGCCGAGGAATTGTTGACAGTCAGTTAGTAATCCAGGCTTTTGATTTATCTTACACTGAAAATCTCATATTTTACTATAAATGTCTACTTAGGAAAACAGTCTAACACCAGAATTCCTTCATGTTCAAGGTTAATGCTGTCATTGATGATGACTTTTGCCAACAAGGTATCATTCTTGCCTCAGAACTCCAGGTTTTCTTCATGCTTTCTATATGGAAACTACACACCCGTGCCATAGAACTGTGCTCTCCAAATAGAAGGAAAAAGTTTACCGGTATTCCTTCGTGTTTTTCATAACTCTCTAGTTGATATTGGCTCCTTATACAATGTATTTTGTATAACGCCTTACGAAGAATTCAGAGGTACTCTTGAAGTGAAGACAGTAGTAAGACAAGGCTGCCTACTATCACCGATGATATTCCTTATTGTGGTGGAATGGATTTTGCAGAATACTGTGATGGGCCGAAAAGACAGAAATACGTCGGACTGATGAGAAGACTCTAAAAAATTTAGAGTTTGTGGATTTATTTATGTCTAATGTCTCACAAAAGCGAAAATCGACAGGCAGAAGAGCCGGCGAAGACACGACTTCAAGTAGACACAGAAAACATAGAGGTGATGGAGAAACCTAACCACCACCAACACCAACAACAACAATAAGCACCAATAGCAATCAATGGGAGAGCTGTAAAAGGAGTTACCTCTTCCGTTTATCTAGATAGTGTCGTTTCAACTACATGTGTCATCACGGTTAAGGATATCAAGGCCAGCCAGGATAAGACAAGTAAATCTACTACACTCATCATATGAAGAATATGTTTTGGATTTTTAACACCAGTGTGTAGTCATAACTTTTATATGGCTCAAAGATTTGACATGTCAACAAAAAACAAAATAACTGCCTTCACTGGCTCCATACTGAAAGTTAGACGGCCAGCCAGGAACTGTATTAACGGGTCAACCAAGAATCATTTGCCTGGTAAAAATGCCGAAGTAAATGCAGGCAGGTTGGACATACGCTAAGGAGACCGCCGAGTGACAATACCAGTCAGTCAGACGCATCAAGTGGAACCTGAATTGGAAACAAAGAGCTGGGCTTGGGTGAGGGGATGAGTCGAATGAGGTCAGTCGTGTAGCCAGCTAAAGAGGACTACAGATAACCGGATGAAATGGCAGTGGGCTGTTGAAGGCCTACTTTACAATCACAACCTAAGCGAATCATAAGAAGAAGAATGATACTCTAATGAATGAATTTCATTTTACGAATCACTTACCTCTATTTGACTTATTGTTTCGGCAGGAGGTAATCCACTGTTAAAATATCATTGACTTTGTACAACAGACTGTTTAAAACACATTTTCTTTTCTTTTTTATATCAGTATCATATTCGAAGCATACACAGTCTTTCATTCACTGTTAGTGTAATGATAAATGCAGATAAGAAATAATAATGTATATGCAGAATTTGTCAGTTTATAATTGATTATCTCATATCCTTCAACCAATCATATAACACCTCCAATTTTGATTGGTCAATAAATAATTGTTTGAATAAAGCAAGAACAACAGTGGTTTGTGCAAGTAATATGGTACCATCGTTTACCTCGTTGGCTTCTCATCAGCTGCTGCTTACAGCATAAGTAAATTATTATTAAGTTTATGTACAGAAACGTTTTAATATACTTGCAAATTTTACATGATGTCAGTTGACAGGATGTTCCAACCTTGGTGAACAGTGTCCGGAAAATTACGCTTGGATATTTTTTACCCATTGAGTTCAAGTTTAAACAAAGTATATGTATGCATACAAAGGTAAAGGAGTAGAGTAATAAAGACGAGAGGCGCGTTAGATGATGAGTAACAATGCACTGAGTTCAGCTCAAATGATAGAAACAAGAGACAAGCAAATTTACACTGTATCAAAGAGGGATGAGGTTAAAGCCAAAGAATACGTAATCAAATGAAAGACAGGATGAAGCCATCCAGTTACTAGGACAAGAAAAGACTAATAACTGCTTCTTTGCGAGCACACATTTGATAGAGATTCCTTCGTCAACCTTGAGGAAAATCGAGCTTTTTTGTCTATTGACAATTTTACAGGATTGTCGCATGATCCGCATCAAGGAGATGCCTGGTAATGGCACTGCTGTATTGTAAAGTCATCGATAGGCACAAAAACTCGATTCTCCTCAAGTTTGATAAAGCAATTTCTATCAAACGTGTATTCAGAAAGGAACAGTTATCAGTCTTTCCTTCTCTATTTTCTTCCTCTCTTTTATTTGATTCCGTAACGCCAAAATTCTATTGTTTATGATTATTGTTGTTTGGGGTAAAGTGATTATTATTATCGTTGTATGCATATATTGGTTTTTTTGGGCTGCAAGTGGCTGATGAGACGCCAACGAAATAAACATTGATGGTACCCTTTTATTCAACACAAACCGTTGTTCTTACTTAATTTATTATTTAGAAAACTTGAGCTTTTTTGTCCATCGATAACTTTAAGAGATGCCTGGTAATGGCACTATCGTACTGTAAAATTATCAATAGACACTGAAGCCGAGGCAATCTTTATCAAGCGCCTGAAACCTGATTCATGTGTTCAAAAAGAAGCAGTTGTCAGTCTTTCCTTGCCCTTTTTGGTAACTGGATGTCTTTACTCTCTATTTCATTTAACTACGTAACCTCACCCCCCCCAAACAAGTTTGATACAGTGCAATTTTGCTTGTCTCATGTTTCTATGATTTCAGTTGAACTCAATGAGTTACTGAATCTATAAGTTCCTCATCATCTTCTGCATCCTTCGTCTTTATTACGTAACTCCTTTACCATTATGTACATGCATACATTTACTTTGTTTAAACTTGAACTGCCTGTGCAAAACCTATATAAGCGTAACTTTCTGAACACTGTTCACTAAGTTTGGACCATCCTGTCAACTGACATCAGGTAAAATTTGCAAACACGTTAAAACCGTTTTGATGTAGTTGTGTTCTCTAAGCTGGTTGGTTTACTTGCGAAGCTTTCATTGCCCTACTACTAGGCAACATCTTCCGTCAGCGCATACACTTCAATTTGCTGAAGTGAGCTTTCTCCACGAATTTATTATTCATCTCTCCTGGCCAACTTGAACGTAACTGGTTGTTTTTTGTGTGTTTCCCCACCGTCTAGACTACTTGTATTGGAACTGATTGTTTCCTTGACCTAAAGTTTGACCCTTTGTGTGTGAGATTTCCTTCTTATCGGTTGGTAAATTTTGTCTATCTCGATGTGTCCATTGATTGATGATTTACTGGAATACCAGGCTTACAAAAATTCTCTGACATTCTTGGTGTTTCCTCTCTCTAATGTTTGAACATTGGTTGTCCCAGTAGAGCTGATATCTGTGGTTGTCTGTATGCAGCGATATGAGATAGGGAGTGGATGTCATGTGTTTTGACGTCTAGTTTATGTTCATGGATTCGAAGAGGACGAAGCGGACGTCAAATTTGGCCAATGTAGTGTTTGTCACAGTCGTTACAATTTATTTTGTAGATGATGTTGGTTTTATCTCCTTTCGTTGTTGAGTCTTTTGGTTGACACAGATCCAGCTGAGTGAATCGATTTTGTTGGTTTGTGTGCGACATCAATTCCTAGAGGTTTGACGAGTCTTTCAGTGATTTCTGATATATCCTTTATATTTGGCAGGGCGACTTTCTTTGTGCTTTCTTTGAGGGCTTTTGGTTTGATAGGTTGGCTTGGGGGTGGATGTCTTTTGATGAAATTCCGTGGATATGCATTCTTTTGGAAGACGTCCATGAGATATCTTTCTTCAATTTTCCTTAAGGTGGGAGTGGTGCAATAAGCCCTGGCTCTCTTTTGTGTATTATTAGGTTGTAGCTGTTGTAATTGAGTATTTGGTGTGTGAGTTGATTTTCTGTAAACTTGAGTTGTTGTTCGCTTGACTAAGACGTCCAAAAATGGGATTTCATTCTCAGGTTCCTCTTCTCTTGTTGAAACCGTTTCTGTATAAAAACTTAATAATGTCTTTGCTCTGTAAGCAGCTGAGGAGAAGCCAACGAAATAAAAAATGATTGTATCATCTTATATTCTGCAGAAACCACTGTTGTTCTTGCCTTATTCAAATTCCTAAAGGGAAAGAAATGTATGAAATTGATTGCTTAACTAGTATCTCAAGTGTACACAGATATATTTATTCAATTCAAGTATAATTCACAGATGAAAAATAACACACTTAAGATTAACTTATAATTAAAAAGTAAAAAACAGAAAACCTTTTAGATTTTTCTCAACTTTACTTCTCTTCTACTGAAGGAAGAAGTCTGTCGAATTGATTCTTCGAAATTAAATTTTCATAAATTAAAATTTCAAAGTATTTATAATACTATAAAGTTATAATTTAGTTGAAGTAGCTGAAAAATAAAATAAAAATAAGTTAAGACTATTGACGATTTGTAATTCATTCCCTTATTAGTAGCCATGATTTTGTGTGTATTCTAAGTTAAATTATATTCTACATAATCTCAGGTGTTTGGTAAACTACGTCCCGTGCAAGAAATGATGGATTTTATTTGCACATACTACTGAATTATCGAGAAGAGTAGTTGAATTACTACCCACTTGAACCAACAGTGCTTGCTAGCTAACCAAATTAATGAAGTGCTCTAAACACCGAATGGATGCTTTGCTGATTTGGAGCCGAAATTATAGCTAGAGGTATAGCTAGAGTAACTCAGCTGTAAGGATTTCATTATGAGCTGACTATTGGTTAGGGAACCATTGAAAAACCAACAGGGAGTACTGGACAGCCAACTGTTTCGTCCTAGTTTGGCAGTCTTCATCAGTACGCACCCACCAAAGGGGTTCTAACCCAGGACTTCCTGGTTACAAGTCTGGTGAGCTCGTAAACCATTCACCAGCCACTGAGACCCGATCCAATGTCCAGTCCATGAATTCTTACTTCTGCCAATTCACGATATAGCGCAACTGCCAGCCAGTGTCATCGCTGGCGAGTATTTGTCCCCACACCTGACCTGCTGTACAACACTGGTCACGACTTCTTACTAGAACCCAGGTAATTATCTACCTACCTGAATAGGGACAGTCGCCAGTGAGCATCTCATCGATATTCAAGTGTTAGTTTAGAGGGATTTGATTGATTGCTTACAGGATTTCTTTATTCATGAAATCATCTTCAGAAGCTGTACACAGTCAAAATTTATACTTACTAAACATGCATAGTAGTCCATTAGTGAGTAACAGGAGGGGGGTAGTGACATAATTGATGTAATTACTCAGAAGTGGCTTCAAAAGTAAAAATAAAAGTTGTGAATTACGCCATACTCAACGGCCCAAATAGGAAGAAAGGGCTTGAAATTTGATAAGTTTAAAATTGTTATTGAGTGAGAAGAAGGCTATTTAAATGTCCATACAACAAGTGTGAAGAGGGTGAGAAAATGTGCAAAAGGAAGATGTGAGAATGATAATGGTGAATTAATTATTAGTAAAAGTAAAACCAAACTAATCATTAAAAATAAAAATTTCAAAAAATCTACACGGAACGACTAATGAAAAAGTCAAGATCATAGTAGAATAAGAGACTGAACAAACTGATATATGTGTAAAACTTGGGCACTATGGTAGTATTAATTCCACATTAGTTTGTTTATTAGATATATCACACAGTGAAACAGTATTATTTACTGGATGACAAGGTTTCGAACACAATTCATTATTGTTCATAATCATATCAATTATAAACACATGACCTCGAAAATTGAGTTTTATAGTTTTCTTTGCCTTCTCCTATTTGTCGTCGTTGGGGTAGTAGAATTTTCCAGATGTCCGGGTGGACAGGTGTTGAATCATTCCTATTACACGTGTTGGTTTGCAGTTGATTTGATAAACAAAGCTTCTGTTATCAATCTCTCCCTCCACTGCTGTTATATTGGATTTTAAAACTGTCATCCTATCCCATCCTGTTGCATGGTTGTGTGCAATTGTATGTAGTGCTGTAGCTGAACTATTCTCCAGATATCCTATCTTATTTGGGTCAAGTAATCTAGATTCTGCTGTTTTCATGTTCGGCTAGTCTGACTGACTGCACCTATTCTACTAGTTTGACCTATGTATTTGACCTGTAAATCATCGCAGGCAGGGTATTAGATGAACCAAATTGTTTTGTTTTAAAGGCTCCACAGGATCCTTTAACTGACAAAGCTTGTTTCTAATTGTTTGTGGGTTTGAATGACACTTTTATTCCTGCTTTGTTAGATATTTTCAACTCGAAGGTAGAGGATATTCAATTCACGTATGAACTGGAGGGTCGAGAATGGGGTCTTCCAATGTTAGATTATAACGTATAAAGGAAAGAAAATGGGAAGTTAATTACTAATGGTGACAGAAAACCCACACATTCCAACAGATATTTGGATTTACGATCA